GGCGACCCCCAGGGGGAGGGCCTTCTCGGTGGGAGCTCCCACCCTCTGGAACGAACTACCCCCAGAGATCCGGGTGATCCCGGATCTCCCTTCCTTCCGCCGCGCCCTTAAGACATGGCTATTTCAACTAGCAGGACTGGCCTAAGGGGTAATTTTTAGCGGGGTTTTAAAAATAATTTTAAAATAACAAAGGCCAATCAAATATTTCATTTTAATTATGTTTTTAATGATAATATTTTGGTATTTTTGTATTTATATTTGTTTTTATCAGGCTGTTAGCCGCCCTGAGTCCGCAAGGAGAAGGGCGGGGTAAAAATTCAATAAATAAAAAAAATAATAAAAAAATAAAGTTTAAAAAGAAATCCAAGGAATCAGGAGGAGATGTTGAATAGGTTTGCATATCATCTGGTTTGGTCTTATTGTGTTGCGTGAACCCAGTTGTTTTAATACAATAAATGTGTATCCATGAGGTTGAAGCCATGTCTGTAATAGATTCCCTTTTTAGGTAAGTGGAGAATTATTAAATTTGCAGACTGGCACAGTATGAGCATTACCTACAAAGACAAAAATCATGTAGTTTTTTTGAGGGGACTTAAAAAATATATAAAGTTCCCTTTGTACAAATTGTTTAGTATTGTGGGTAGAAAACAAAAAAAAACAGGCAATCTCTATATCAGGGGTCTTCAAACTTGGCCCTTTTATGACTTGTGGACTTCAACTCCCAGAATTCCTCAGCCAGTTTGAAGACCCCTACTCTATATCAACAGCAATAAAATTACATGTAAGTGTAGGTACCCTTGGAAAATCTGAACAGTTGCCATAGCACTGAAAAGGGGATTTATGATGGCCCGCGCTTAAGACCATTGTAATATCCCCCCTGGTCATGTGATAAAAATTCAAGAGCTTCGCAACCAGCATCTATTTATGATGGTTGCAGCATTGTAGGATCATGTGATTGCCATTTATGAACCTTCCCAATTGGAATCTGACAAGCAAAGTCAATGGGTTATGGCAGATTCGCTGAATGACTGCATGACTTAATAACTGCAGTGATTCGCTTAACTATGGCAAAAGATCATAAATTGGGCTCACCTTACTTAACAACTGCCTTGCTTAGCAGTGGAAATTCTGATCCCAATTGTGGTTGTTAAGTTGAGGATTACCTGTACATAAACATATGCATTCATTCTCCATCCGTGCTATTCTAGTTTAGGGCAGCTAACATGGTTGTTGAATTCTGCTCTTTACATTTTTCTCAGTGTGGATATTAGATTAAGGTTGTGGCAAAAGTAATCCAGTTTATATATCCTGTACTGTACAAAATACTGATTCAGAATTACCTGCTTTTATATTTCCTGAAATGGGTGATTCAGTTTTATATTTTGTCCCTGAATGGGAAATGTAATCTGTTATGGTATTAATACCGGTAATACCTACTCTAGTTAATGATTCAGTGTATAGTTTACACTCTTGCAACCAATGTTAACTTGCAAATCCTGTAGCTAAAACAGCTGGATTAATTTTTGTA